ACGAATGTTATAATACATTATAATATAAATTATAATTACAATAAAAACTATAATATAAATTATAATTACAATATAAATTATAATATAAATTATAAAATAAATTATATATATATATATATATATATAATTTTTGTTATCTACAAATTTCATTGTAATTACATTTAAAACGTAGACATAACATTAATAAAAAAAAAATACTCGTTCAAAAATTCAAAAAGTGTAATTTAAAAATAAACTATAAAAACAAAATCTTATCTGCAAAATATGTCGAACGTAAAAATACCGATATCAAACTACGATCAATATCTACTTAATGTATAAATATTTAATTAAAAAAAAGAAGAAAAAAAAGAAAAAAATTGCCTACAAAATTTCATCGCGTCGATTTATTTACTCAGGTGATAAAATGGAAGAAGAATAACAAATATGTAGATACGATAAAATTATAGAAAATCAACGGTTCATGTATGGGGGGCTGGCGGGGGTGGTTGGCAAGGTTAGTAGGGATAATTATAGTTCTAATTGAAGTCTCCTTTGTGTATGTTTAAATCTTCTTTATAAAGGAAACCGGATATTGCATTTATTTGTAGAACTCTGATTGACGGTTTAACTACGCAGTAACATTTGTAACACACAATACTGATAATTATTGTTTTCCTTTTTTTTATTGATGCATTGACAAAATTCGATTAACGTTTCGCTTCCGTAATGCGTCAACGTGCACTTTGATTGCTAGGATTTTTTTTTTTTTTTTTGTTCTCTCAGAGAGAGAGAGAGAGAAACCATTTGCATTATTCGCATAATTGTACGAACTATTTTCCTGGTTCTTATTATAAGTCATTTATATTATATATTTTATTTTTTATTTTTTTTTTTATTTTTATTATATAGCAATGAGTATACTTTTATGTAAAAATAAGAATAGAAATATATGTAAAAATTACTGAATTATTAAACAGTGTTATTTTTTTATACAACATTGTCATTTTTCAATTTAAATATAATACAGAAAAAAGAAAATAATAATTATAAGAACATTATTAATCATTCTTTCGTAATATTCAAATGAGTTGTTAAATCAAATAAATTATTACAACAAAACTAACTATTTTCTAATAGATTATCTTTTTCATAAAAAAAAAAAAAAAAAA